TTTTATTTGGACTTTAGTTTGAAAGGTTGATTTTTATTTCCCTTCTTTTCTTTCTCTTTTTTTTTGTGAGAGTGAAAGTAAAATGGCGATCGGAAAGTTTTTTTTTTTTAAAAAAAAAGTGAGTGGAACGGAATGTAATGGACTAGATTGTTCTTTTTTTAAAAAATTTTTCTTAAGGTGAATTTGTGTTTTAGGAATATTCTTTTTTGTTAAACTCTCTTTTGCTATTTTTTTTTCTATTAAGGGATTCTTTTTTTGTATTTTTTATTTCTTTTTTCAAAGAAGGAGGAAAGAAGAAACAAAACTTTTTTTTTTTTTAAATGGCTTCAAAGCGGCAAGCAACATCTACAGTACCTAAGGTGGCTTCTTCTCCTGCGATTTTACCAGCACAACAACCTAAAGCTACACCACCACCCTCTCCCCCCTTGCCAGCAGTAATGGTAAAAGACATGCAAGATATAATGGGAAATCTTGGAGGATGAATGAAAATTTATTTAGACAAGAAAAGAATGTTCAAAAATTAAAGGAGCAATTAAAGGATTATTTTGCTTTAAATATGTATAAGGGAACTTCAATGTCAATGGTCTGGGATGCAGGTAAAGCTTATATGCGGGGGATTTTGATACAAATGAATAAGGTTCATAGACAGAAGCAGGTGCAGAAACGTAAAGAGTTGGAAGATGAGATTAAATTAAAAGAAAAAGCTCTGATTTTAAATCCCACAGATGAGAAGATTAAGGATTCTATAAAATTGCTTAAATCACAATTTAATATGTTGATGGCTGATCAAACTGCAACTAATTTATTGTATATGAAACAAAATACATTTTGTAATGCCAATAAACCAAGGAGATGGTTGGCTTATCAATTGAGAAAGAAGCAGAGACAGAGAACTATAGATAAAATAAATTATAATGGTAAGTTGGTATATCAGAAGGAGTTGATTAAGAAATCTTTTTTAGATTATTATCAAAAATTATACATGAGTACTAAAGTACAGGTTTTAGATATAGATAATTATTTAAAAGATGCTAATTTTCCTAAACCAACAGAAGATCAGAAACAAGAAATTAATGGTCTGATTACTAGTGAGGAAATTGAGACAGTAATTAAAGAATTAAAATTAGGTAAAGCACCGGGTACAGATGGATTGACATCTATTTATTATAAAACTTTCGTACAAGAGATGATTCAACCTTTAAGGGAGCTTTTTAATAATATATTACAGGGTTCAGAGATCCCCCCGTCATGGGGTAGAGCTTTTATATCCTTGATTCCAAAAGAAGATCAAGATCTCACTTTACCAAAGAATTATAGACCTATATCTCTTTTAAATGTAGATTATAAGATTTTTTCGAAAATTTTAGCTAATAAGACTCATGAGGGTCCTGCATCATGTAATACATATGGATCAAATGGGTTTTATAACTGGAAGGTATATGAAGAATAATGTTAGACAAATTATTAATTTATTAGAATATTTAGATAAAAACAATCAAATTTCTGCAGGATTGATATTTTTAGATGCTGAAAAAGCTTTTGACCAGCTGAACTGGCAATTTATGTTAAGATTAATTGAGAAAATGAATTTTGGAGAAAAAATTTTACTAAAAGCAAACGGCACAACTTATAGTTAATGGGGGTTTGTCAGAGGTGTTTTCAATAGAGAAGGGGACTAGACAGGGTTGTCCATTGTCACCATTGCTGTTTGTTCTAACTTTGGAAATTTTGTTGATTAAAATTCGAGAATCACAGCAAATAAAAGGAATAGAAGTTAACAAAAAAGAATATAAATTAAGGGCTTTTGCAGATGATTTGGTTGTTACTTTATCTCAACCTACTTATTCTGTAATAGAGTTATTATAATTGATACATCAGTATGGACAGGTTTCGGGTTTTAAAATTAACAATAATAAGACTAAAAATATGACTAATTTGGATAAGGAGACCTTGGTTAGGTTGACAGATTTTGAGGTTGTTAACAAGGTAAAATATCTGGGGGTTACTTTATCTGTTTCTAACGCCAAATTGTATAAAAATAATTATGAAAGGTTGTGGGTCAAAATACAAAGAGATTTGGAAAATTGGGAGAAGCTGCAATTATCTTTTTTGGGGAGAATTGCGGTGATTAAAATGAATGTTTTGCCAAAGTTTCTTTTTTTATTTCAAATGATACCCATTTTAAAGAATGAGGTTAATTTAAATGAATGGCAGAAAGGTATCAATAAATTTATCTGGGCAGGGAAAAAAACAAGAGTAAAACTTAAAATTATACAAGATATTTGTGAGAGGGGTGGACTCAAGGTACCGAATTTGAAATTGTATTATGATGCTGTGGCTTTAACATTAATTAGTGATTGGGTTAATTTAACAAATGTAGAAGTACTCCTCTTAGAGGGTTGGGATTTGCTTTTCGGATGGCATGACTATTTAATTTTCAATAAAAAGGTTGACAGGGTTTTTAAATCTCATATTATAAGGACTTCTTTACTTTGGGTTTGGAAGAAATATTATAGAAATGATTTTAAAATTCCATTATGGGCTATACCATGGCATGTGATAGAAGGGATAAGGAGAGGAGTCAAGATGGATAGTGTTTCTTATGCACAATTACTTAGATGGGATGGTAAAAATTGGCAATTAAAATTTCTGGAACATTTAACACAAGAAAATATTATTTATTCATGGTTTCAGTATAGACAAATAGTAGAGAGGTGGAAGATAGATCGTAATTTGGGTTTGCTTAGAGAAGATGAGAATTTGTTAAAACAAATAAAAGATCACAGACGAACTCACATTAAGAGAATTTACGGGGTGTTAGTAGAGTTGGATTCAGAAGCAGAGTTAGTTAAAGAATGTATGGTTAAATGGGCACAAAACTTTGAGGAACCGGTTTTATTAGATACCTGGGAGATTATTTGGGTGAGGAATGTTAAATTTACACAAGCCCAAAATTTAAGGGAAAACTTTTATAAAATGTTTTATAGATGGCACCTTGATCCACAACAAATGTCTCGTATGTATCCTGACTTGCAGCCTAAATGTTGGAGATGTGGATGTTTGGATGCTACTTATTACCATATCTGGTGGTTATGTAAAAATATAAAAGCTTTTTGGATTAAAATATGGTGGAATATTCAAAGAATTTTCAGAAGAAGGATAAAATTTACCCCGCAATTGTTTTTGTTAGGTATTGTTTCTGATTGTGACAGTAAAGAGATTATATTGATGTTAAATTTAATTACAGCGGCCAGGTTGTTAGTAGGGCAATGTTGGAAGAAGGAATCTTTGCCTACATTGCAAGAATGGTTTTTTAAAGTTTCTTATTTGGAGGAAATGGCAAAGATTTCGGCTTTCTTGAAAGATCAATCGCAGGAGAAGTATCTCCTGGTATGGAAAAGATGGATAGATTTCATACAATATAAGTTGGATATAAAAAAATATTACTTAGTTTTTGAATAATTTATAATTGAAGTTTAAGATATTTCTTAGATATTTTCTTTTCTTTTTATTTTTTTTATTTTTTCTTTTTCTGTTTTTTCTTTTCTTTCTTCTTGTATTTTTTATATATTGTTGTTAATTATTTTATAATTTGTTTAATTAACGTATTTAGATTTGTTTATGGTTCATAAGTGTTTTAAGATTTTTTTTAATTTTTTTTTAATTAAGCCTGTATTCAGCTCTGGGAAGATTGGGGGAGGGTAGGGGAGGGGTGGGAGGGTGTGGGGGAGGGGAATCTTTTCTTTTTGTAAAACCTAAAAATTTTCAATTAAAAAAAAGAAAGAAAATGTTTTGTTTGCTTGATTACACACCCAAAAGCTTGGATCCAATACCATTACTTGAAACGGCTTCACTTCCATTAAAATCTAAACTTGACTGTCAGCAAATGAACTGGATTTCACGCAATAGTGATATCATTTGGATAAACATACTGTCAATATACTGAGGTCAAAAATAGACAATTTAAGCCTGGTTTCACTGTTGTCTTCAAGATAAGATTTACTTTCTGCAACTAGCTGTAAAATATTATACCATCTCCATTTTGACTTTATTTAGATTTTTATTAGTAAAGTATTTTCTTGGTATCAGTATGTTTTAGTGCTCATTTCTCAGTAGTTTCCCATTTGGTGACTGGTTAGCAGTGGGGCCCATCTTTGTTTTGGAGAGGAAGTTTTAACCATGAACAATCAATGGGATTGAAGTAAATAATAAAGTATTCTAATGTTTGTGTCTATGCTATATTATTCCATAGGAATTAGAACCTCACACCACATCAACTACAACAATACATCCAATCTATAAAAATTGAATTCCTGCATCCACCTGGTCACAAAATGGCTGCACTTTCTAATTTAAAACTAATTTGCATATTGTATACATGTAGGACATTTTTAGAAAAAAAAAGCTTGAGTCACAATAATACATGCAGGTCCTTCGTTACAAATTTTTCTGTGTGTTCATGCTATCTAGATTTCAGAGCCTTATTTTAAAAAATTGATCATAACCTATCTCCTGTTAAATCTAGTGCATGCATATGCTGTATGCAAGTAAGTAAACATGCAATTTTCACATTCTAAAACTATGGCAGTTTGTGCCATATTGTGCTGCCTGCATTTTAATGGGTAATGCAGAATATCTTAAAATGTTTTATATTTATAGGTGGCATTACATATAACACTTGTATAGCAGCAAAGCTAATACAGCTTGTTTAATGTTTAAAATGTTTAAAAATAACTAATAAATCAGAATATCTTGAGGTATTACTTCTTGCAAGTCAAAATGGAGAGCAAAAAAACTAACCCTATTTTTTAAAAATGATGTATACATTGAAAATAGCAACAGCAGTAAAAAATAAGCTTTTTGTAGCAGACATATTCCCTCTTCTCTATTTTTGCTACCTTTGGTAAATTAGTGGGGCAGATCTTGAAGTTAAAAACCCATGTTTGGAAATAAGTGCATGTTTCATTCACTAACTATAGCAACAGACAGTGTGCCCCACGCAAAAAAAACATTCTCTCATTTAATTCTACATATAAAAATAAATTGGACAAAATACAAATTATTATTATTATTACATGAAAATATCAGAAAAAAAACTAGTAAGCCTGAGATGTAGGATTTGGGGGAAAAACAAGAGGCTTTGTAGTATTTTGGCTGCTGAAAACAGATGTAGATTTAAGAGAGCTGGGGTGAAAAACAGAAAATGCAATTATTTCTTCTACATATCAGTATCTTCAAGCTGAGGAAGCCTTCCTTCCTTCCTTCCTTCCTTCCTTCCTTCCTTCCTTCCTTCCTTCCTTCCTTCCTTCCTTCCTTCCTTCCTTCCTTCCTTCCTTTTCAATTCCAGCGGAAGTGGATCTGCGGTGGCTGGTCTGCCCCCTCCTTGACCAATGGCTTATGGAATTCACGCCCTGCCCGAGAGTGGAGGTTTGCCCAGCAAACTGCAGACAAGTAACATTGGCACAAAAAAAGGGAGCAAACTTTCCACTACATCGTGCACCCTGGCATTCATCACACATCTGGTCATCCAACACATATGGTTTTACTTCCACCTGTTTAAAAAACAGACACATGAAAAAGAAACATTAATACTGAATATTTGGATTCTGGAATATTGTTTTCCCCTCCTCCTGGATAACACAGTGGAACATCCCATGAACAAATCCCACATTGGTGAAGTAATGCTACAGAATTATGCTTCTTAATAATATTATAGAATACATACATGCTATATAAAATAGAATGACAAGTCTGTTATCCTGTCTGAACCTTTTAGTCAGAAGTAACAAACAATTCTTATTCATTTTGCTTTGTCATTTCCCTTTTTGTAAATATAATTCACAATTATTACAAAACTGCAAATAAAGAATTAAGGTATCAAGGCAGCAAGTATCACTACTATTTTCAATAGTAATCCTACGAGTAATTAAAAAAATATATCTTTGGAAGACCTCAAAATTATTGATGGAGATGATCAGCACTGCAAATTTATCTTGGTGGTCAACCAGGCTTGATTCCTATTTGGTGACAGCTCTTTATTTTAATAATACATTTCAGAAACAACTGATATTGAAACAAAATCAATGCCTGGCTAAAAAAGCTTCAGAAAACATAATGCCACAAGTAATAATCAGAAATAGGTTAATTAGGAAAAGAAAACTGTGTAAAGTTAAGTATTATGAGCACAAATAAGAAAAAAAATCTTATATTATTTAAAATTATATACAATATTATATCTCTACAATCTAAACAGTTACTCAAAGAATTCTATTAGATGCAAGTACTAGGAAACAAATTATGATGAACACCCAGCTGCTAATTAGATTTTTCAACTGGCTTGAGATCTAGTTGGTACTTGTATCCCTCCCTACTCACACACTAATTATTATATGTCCCTCATAATATTCTGCTTGCTCTTATAAAAAAAGGAACAGACACAATAAACAGTCAATTTTATCAATGATTGTGTTGTGTAACTTATGAAAAGCAAACAAGCTTATTTCTTCTCTCCAAACTTACTCGTTTATCAATATCACCATGTTGAAACTGAACAAACGGGGCACTGATGGCTGCAATGTAGCTCTGTTGATTGGAAAAAGCCACTCGTCCAGCACCTTTGGGGTATTTTAGTTCAGGGTCAGTATCAATTCCTGCATAACACACTCCACCATAGAGACGGTTCATTATCATAGCCAATTCCACTACAAAGCAACAAAACACACTGGCTAAAGAAACTTTAAATAAATAAATGTATTTTAAATGGAAAAACTACTTACAAAGTTATAATGTATTATAACTGCATGCAGTGTAGAATATCTTCTGCAATGTGATGCATAATCAATGTTAGAATCAAATAGAGCATTAAATAAGGACTAGGAGAAGGGAATCTCCTAGTATGGGATTTTGAAAACTAATTTGTTCTATTTAGGCATCACCCAAATCTCAACTAGCACTATATAATGAAACTAAACAAAATACAAACAATAAAAAATAAAAATACAGTGCAACAACAAATCAATAAGAGGCAATAAACAAAAACAGACCACAAGACTGGCTAACATCCTGCCCCCATACAGATCCAAAATGGACTTAATCCTGGTTAGGTTAGGTCTTCAACTCTTTCCAGAACGCTATCAGGATGTGAGTGACCCAAATTATCAAGAAGCATCTCATTTCAGAGATGTGTCAGACAAGGCCAACTTCCTGGGTCCCAACAGATGTTTCCAAGCTAACACTGCCAAACTTATTTTTAATTACTGTATGAAGGTTTTTTAAATAATGATCTGTGTTCCCAGAGCTTAGTTTTCTGGTCTTCTAATGTAAGAATTATTTCTAATGTGTTATTTCTAATGGGAACCATACAGCATCATAGCAGCTGTTACCATGTACAAAGCTAATTTTGTATATTTTGTGTAAATATAAGGTTCAGTGATGCTTGATAGCAAAACAGCTGTCCGCAAAGGAAAATGAGTATTTAACATGTACTTCATTATACAATATGATAAATCACCTTCCAGAATTGCTGGGCTTTGTGATATTGCCATCATATATGGAAAGGTGTAATGATATTACATTTTTACATTTCCATCTGCTTTTTGAAAATGCATCATCTATTTTGAAAATCAATACTGGAGCAGTATATCATTGAAAACAACATCTTGTTTTTCCTGAGCAAATTTAGTATTGGATTTCTAGTGATGTTCCCCTTATTGACTATCAATTGTCCTATTTAAATTTTGCATCAATTTATAATCATGTAATCTGACTTGTTCAGTTTCTGACTCACATTTCAGTAGCAACTCATTGCCCTAACACAGAGGTCCCCAACCTTTTTGGTACCAGGGACCGGTTCTGTGGAGAGAGGTTTTTCTGCAGACTGGAGGGTGCATGGTTTTGTGTGCTGCCTGCATCCCGTGGATGGGGCTTTGCTTGTTTGTGCAGACCAGTTGCTGGCATGCTGCGGCCTGGTACTGGTCCACGGACCGGGGGTTGGGGACCCCTGCCCTAACAGATAGTTTTTAAATTTGATAATTTTTTCAAATTTGATCATTTCAAATTTGATCAGTTTCTAAGTATTCCATACTGTTTTTGTAGTTTCCATAGAACAAAACTTTGAAGGTAATGAAATCAATGATGCTTTTTTAGCTATTCCAAGGAAAGATTCTTGAAATATCTGATCTTTGTTTTAGTAAAGTTTAGCACTAGCTATATATACAAATAGTTATTTCTACATTGATCAATTTTTTTTAGAATATACACCTTCATAAAAATTTAACACTGAGGGCAGAGGCAATAGGCTGGCATTATTCTTTTTTATATTTGTCTCATTCATTACTTTTAATAAAGCTATCTATAATTAAACAATTTTGTAGACACCAGACAGTTGTATTTGTGCTAGAGCAAAGATATTTCTGCAGGTTTTCTAGTAATCCTATTCAATACAATATAACATAACATAATAAATATAATATAACATAATAAATATAATATAATATAATAATTATAATATAATATAATATAATATAATAATAACTACAATACAACTATACAGTGATGTAATCGAATCTGTAATGCAATATGACAGTATAATTTAAAATTTGTGCGGCTAATCCACCTCATTCTTTTGCATTTTGTAGAATATAGTTTGATCTTCTGCCTTTTATTTGACCAAATTAAATTAGTTATTTTTCTTTGCCAGTCAATGACTTTTCGATTCTTATTGCAATAATTTGGATAAAAACTGAATCTTGATAAAATTGGCATTTTATTGTTGATATTCTTCCGAGCCAAGACAGCTGTAGCTTTTGTATCTAAATATCTGCTACTGTATTTTTTTAGATCAGTGAAAAATTATTTTCCACTTCTGGGAGTTGAAGTCCACATATCTTAAAGTTGCTGAGGTTGGGAAACACTGTTTTAAAGTAATGCTAGGAAATAGTCTGTGATCATCCATTTAGTATAAACTTCTGTTCCTATTGCAGACAGATGCAATTGTAGGAGCACCCACTAATTAGTCATGGTGGCACAGTGGTTAGAATGCAGTATTGCAGGTTAATTCTGCTGACTTGCCAGGGGTTTGATCCTCACCGACTCAAAGTTGACTCAGTTTTTCATCCTTCCGAGGTCGGGAAAATGAGGACCCAGATTGTTGGGGGCAATATAATGACTCTGTAAACTGCTTAGAGAAGGCTGTAAAGCACTGCAAAGTGATATATAAGTCTAAGTACTATTGCTATTGCTAAGTGCTAATTAGGCATAGTAAATTTATGCAGATTATAATTTTGATTATACAAAAACAAATAAGTTGTAGTAAAATTGCTGTATCTTTTTATTTTCACATTTCTAACACTCCCCTACTTTTACAGATATTCTTGACTTATGGCAGTTCACTTAGTGACAGTTCAAAATCATGAACCCCCCCAAAAGAACTTATGAAGGCCTGAAGTTATGAATGTTGCAGCACCATGGTAGCTGTTTGCCCTTAAAGACTGCAGAGATACTGCAACATGCCCCCTGCCTATTTTCCCTCCCCCCCACACACACACCAGGTCTGCACAATCATTGGGCCTGCTTTGTTAGCCCATCCATCTGAGAAGACAGCTCTGCTGATCTTCAAAAGTTAAGTGAGTGATTGGTGATAGGGGTTTAGTGCAAAGAAGGCCCAAGTAGCTGTGGGGACCTTAAGATATCTCAGTGGGTGCGGTGAGGCCTTGGGTGGCCAGAGAGAGGTAGTCTTGTTCCTGCATTAGGCCCCTCATGGAGTCCCTCCCCTGAGGTTTCTCATGCCCACTTAATGATCCATGCATTCAATTAACGAATGCATTGGGGAGAGGAGGGATGGGGCTGTTTCATATAACATGATTCAATTAACGTTATGACTATAATGGGCAGGCTCCATTATGGTCGTAACTTAAGAACCATCTGTATTGTATGGTAAGTGTTAAAAGCAGTATCATGTTTTGTTTATGTGTTATGTATGGTTCAAGCTATTTGCTGAATATAGTATAAGATGATAAAGATAAAAACCTTTCTTTTGTTTATTTTAAACTAGAGTACTGGACAAATGTATATTTGATTATCTTAGTTAAAACTAGTTATTGTTTTTAATGAATTTGTGAAAACATTTAATGATTAAAGAATAAGCAGAAAATTCTAGTACAGCATTCTCCAATTTGTTGTACTAGTAGATAATATACAATGCTTCTGAGTTTTGCTTCTTTGCATATTGCCAGTGATTCTAATGCCAATGAAAACTGAAACTTTTATTATAAAACTTATTTTATAATAATAAATGCTTGGTTATTATTTTATAATAATAAATATCTTGGTTTCTTATTTACTGTGAATACTCAGTAATTCTCAGTCTTCTGTAATCTTCTCCAAGCATGGTACCTGTTTTTCATACAGCTGAGAATACTATTTGACAAATTAATTGGTCAGCAAATCTGAAGTTCGTACAGACTTCTTTCCATCCCAAACTGAAGTAATAGTTCCTTTTTCATTTTCTCAGCTGACAGACCAACCATTTATGAACTTTCTCAAAGTAGGTCTGCTTAACAAAATCCATCTTCTTAACCTACTGCTTTACATTCAACACTGGACTCTGCATGTATCTTGATTTTATTTGCTTCAAGTCATTTAACAATATAGTTTTCTGCTTTTTAATGTCTTTCTTTCTGTTCATTGTCAAGAAATACAAAGTCGTATCACAAAGACACTATGAATAGAAGAAATACCAGGAGTTGAATTACCAGGAGTTTGGAAGGAGCTCTTTAACTCAGAATCAATCGCCCTTGATATACTATCTTGAAGTTACAACAGGCCATTCAGTCTCCCATCATTCTGACCTGGAGATTCTTGTGTACATTTTTGTAATTATTATATTATGGTCTGTCTTTAGTTTTCACTTTTGTAAGTTTAGGCAATAATAAACTAGATGACAGTGTATGTCTAATATTGAATAAGTTTCATACACAATAGAAAACCTCTTGTAAAATCTCCTATCTCTAAGCTATATTCCAATGTCTAATGTTACTGCAATTTCTACTTGTTCTAATCTCTCTTGTTGTATCTTCAAAATGTAAAGGGATAATCCTGCCCTTTTAGCTGCAGTACTGGATCCTTTATTAAATATGTGCATATTAATTCATGGTTTTATATTATATAATCTATATATTTCAATTATTACTTATAATATTATCAAAATATTATTTATAATATTCTCTAATTCTCAGTAGATTACAACCTACTGGGGATTGATGACCAAATTCCGGATTGCATGAATACAGAAGAAAGATTTGCTACTAGAACCTGTTCCTGGCCTACCTCCACAGACTATTGTCTAGATCAGGGGTGTCAAACTACCGGCCTATAAGCCGGTTGCATCATGCGGAGGCCACACCCACCCCAGCTCTGGCAAAACAAAAAAAGTTGCAATGTCACAACACATCATGTGATGTGGCGAGTTTGATACCTGTGGTCTAGATGGAATGGGAATGTGGGCTGAAAGAGTTTTCATTATGCATGCTTTAGATCATACATATCAAACACAAGGCCTGTGGGCCAGATCTGGTCCATGACGTGGTTAGATCTGGCCCACAGGGCTTCCCTGAAACAGCATGTGGCTGGACCTTGCTGCCTCAGCTCCCCCTGCAGGCGGCGAGCACATAGGAGCTGGCAATGCGTGGCAGCAGCTAAAGCTCGTTCTTCTAGTCCTGCTGTGCCTGGCCTTGCCCCACCTCTCTCAGCCCCCTTGGTCACCCTTCGTTGCTACTGCATCTGGCCTCCTCTCTGCTCGAGCCATGGTGTTCCATGGGGCACAGCCATCCTTGTCCACAGGTGTCTCGTTTCACCCTGTGCTGTCTCCCCATCTGCTGTGAGTGCTGCATTCCTCTCTCTGGCCCTGCCACATGGTGGAGAGGGTGACCTGGATGCTCAGCTCGTGCAGCTCCGTGCTCTTGTCTCCCCATCCGTGAGTGCCATGTTCCCTTCTCCAGCCCTGCTAAGTGGCGGAGGGTAACCCAGAGCTGGCCCCCACCGACGCTCAGCTCGTAATGCCCAGCACTCCCATCTGCCTGCCTTTTGTCCCATGGGCCAGGTCCTGTCTGCAGCCTGGCCACCCCCCCTTTCGATCTCGCATCTGGGATACGGGTGAGGCTCCTTTAGTGGATGAGGCTTTGGCGTTTGCCTTGGTCTCATATTCCTCTGCTGAAGAACTCCAGATCCGTGCTCCCAGCCTTGCCTAGCCCCCCCCCACAGGCACCCCTCAATGTGAGTGACATTGAGCCAGTCATGTTAAACCAGCCACACCCACCTGGCCCTTTGAGAGCAACCATAATACTAATGTGGCTCTCAATGAAATTGAGTTTGACACCCCTGTCAAAATTTGCTCCCACTATGCTCAGAGAGGCCAATTGTAGGCTTGAGATTCCCTCTGCTACTATTGAAGACCCAGGTGGAACTTGATGGGGGAGGGAGAAAAAGAACGTTGTCTCAAAGTTAGAGCCCATATTTCATTATTTGCTTGCAACTGGATGCCTTATCCTTCCTACTGAGGGGTGTAGTTTTGAATTTGGTTGGTTTGCTATTTGTTTCCAATGAAAAGACTTTGTCTGATTGCAGGGTTCTCTCATTGTTTTGTTTGGGAGGTGGACTGAAATTAAGTTAGGATAAATGGCACTGAAATGGGAAAATTGCATTAGAATAGATACACTCCAACCCTCCCCAAATTCTTTCCCAGGGTAATAAAGTGTTGACTTAACCATAAAACATTTAGACACTAAAGAATGTTAAGACAGACTAAAGGGATAGTGAAAACAGGAAGCAAGACTATTAGATGACACATATAGAAAAGTAACTTTCTAGAGAAAAAGACCTGTTTTTGTAAAAGTCAATAAACAGCATTTGTAATGTCCCTTTCATACCTAGTCATCCTGACTTCATTAATACACATTGGCTAAAAGCCAATCAATTATTCTGCTGCAATGATCAAACATATATTGTAATGTATGTAAATCTACAGCGAGAGGTTGTATCCCTGTTCTTTATATCAGCCTCAGCTGCCCACAGTACCATAAACCAATCATCAGGGTCTCTGGAATTGTGCACTGGACTTTACTTTGAACTTTTGGGGAAATTTGTAAAAGTGATTATTTCTTCTCAGTCATAGACCCAGTTAAAAAATAAACAAACATTGGTTTGGGAGGATGAGGGTGACTTCAGAAGATTGTGGCACTTTGGTTTAACACTTACCAGCTTGTAACGGCCTGGGAACACCACCAACAAAAATAGTTTTTCGAGGATCCAAAGGCTGTGAACCATCCATTACAAAGTCACTATCATTTAAGTTCCAGGGGCGGATCTGAACCTATTAAAGCAAAGCAGTTGCATGATTGTAAGTGCATTTATGTGGTGATACTGTTATGAATCTATATAAAATGCCAGTAAAGCTTACAACCCATAACAGAAGAATAACCGTAAACTATTGGTATGTTCCAAAGTTATCAGATGAGAAAAGAAACTTTGGAGAATTATTTGGGGGGGGGCAAGTAGGGACAAGCGGAACAATATTGCTTAAGCTCTCCCATTTTATTCATTGGGGAACTTGTTCACTCAATTTAGCATTACATTAATTTTTTTATGATAAAATTAAATTTCATTTTAACATGTTTCCATCACCATCCTCTTAGAAAAAGTCTTCAGATATATTACAACTTGTTCTGGAGGCTTTTAAAAAAATACTCATATTTCTCTTCCTATAATCTATAGCTTTTTTTTTTTTAAACTTATAGGCTTATCTTTGATAGTAGGGCTGGAAACACACAAATAAAGCTTTCCATCTTCTTCAAGGCAAGCATTGATCAGGGCTTGAACAGAGCTCTCCTCTTGGAAAAGGAGGAAGGCATAACCTGGATATCAAGGGAGGAGGAGGAAAGGAAAAGAGAAAGACTAGAATATAGTTAATGTTTCTCTCCTGTTGTTGTCTATGTGATCAGGACCCAAGGACAACACACATTTTCCTTGTGCTCCCACTTTTGCATAGGTTTTTGGTGCTATTTTTTTAATTACCAAAAATCTTTTTTTTAAGAGGAAAATTTCCCTAAGAGCATTGATCATGTTGTGAAGTAGAATATATAGTCCTGATATATGAGGGGAAATTAATTTTAAAATTATGGAAGTCAACCTCACTGATAATAAATACATAAGAAAACAGCTATGGTGGCACAGTAGTTAGAATGCAATATTGCAAACTAAATCTGCCCACAGCCAGGCTCATTGACACAGCCTTCTATCTTTCTGAGCTCGGTAAAATGAGGTCCCAAATTGTTGGGGAAATATGTTGACATTATAAACCGTTCAGAGAGTGCTATAAAATATATAAGCCTAAGTGCTAGCGCTATCAGGTCATTTACAAAGCACAATGTGCCATCTTTGCCGTGGGCAATTGGCAATTGCCCTATCCACTACTTCTTTGTTTACAAAAATGGAAGAGGGAAAAAATATATAGCTGTTTTAATGAGTTTTAAATAAGTGCTGCATTTACACTCTTGCATATTCCAAAGTTCCTCTTTCAAATCAAATCCAAAACACTACAATCTCTGATTTAAAGGTTTTTTGCTTTATTGGACTCCTCAAATAATTTTTGAAAAAAGATGGGCGTCAATTTTTTTAAAGCTGGGGTACAGTGGTACAGTGACAAGGAGAAACTTCCTAACAGTGAGGACAATTAACCAGTGGGACAGCTTGCCTTCAGAAATCATGGGCCCTCCATCACTGGAGGTTTTAAAGATGGGACTAGACAGTCACTTATCTGAGATGGTATAGGTTCTCCTGCTTGAGCAAGGGGCAGGATTAGAAGACCTCCATGGTCTCTTCCAGCTCTATTCTGTTCTGTTCTATTCTATTTTCTTGGAAAAAAATACAAACCTGAAAAGGGGCAAATATGAAAGAGATTCATAAGGATAAAAAATTGTTTATGTCTATACTTTGCTTTACAAAGGAAGATTCAAGAACAAAACCAAGAAAAACTTTACAAAAATACATATTCTAATAAAAATATCTAAAAACATAAAAAGCTATGAAGCTATAAGGACCAAGGAATGAAAATGATTTCTGCAATCAGATTATGCATTAAGTGGTACCATTTGTATAGTAAAACGTAAATGAGTAAAATAAAGAACAAAACTGAGTTTTTGAAAAATAAATCTAAACAACAGCTTTTTGAAAGAAAGGGCTTTTCTCTGTAATAAAAGCTATACAATCTCTGTAGTTATAAAGTCGAGGGGTGTTCAATCATATAAGTTAATCATGTTCTTCATGGCTTTTTTGTCTCAAATTATTTTAAATCTCAACATTGTGAGAAAAACATGTAATTTTAAAAGATATACATGTGACACTTCACTACACTCCAAAAATATGGCATTTGACATTTCATGTGAAACTTTGGCTTCACTGAGTCCAGGGATCAGTTAAGAAAATAATCTCAATCAGGCAGAAAGAAAAGAACAGTCCAAACACAGGGAGGATTCAAGAAAAATATTTTTTTCATTGATTTTCAAGACAGCTTTATATTGGAGAAACAAGAGAATAGAGCAGTATGTTTGTACATGATCTAGATTTTTAATAACATGTTAAAGGACTAAGCTAGTTGTGTATTAATATTGCATGGATCTTTTTCTATTCTATTAAAAGTTGTAATTCCTTTTTATCACTATCATTGATATTCCTGTTGTAGTCTCTTTCATTAAATTTGGGAAGGAAGGATGAAAAAAGCAGGAGGTGATTTGTCACCATGCGGGTAGGTGTCAGCTGTCCAGCTACTGAATCCAAGAAAGGAATTCTTCCCTTCAGTCCATTGCATTGTGGAATCAACTATGCTCCTTTTGTTATCGGAACTGCCTGGATTGTTCAAACACCTGCACATCGTGACCGTGAAATAGGGAGCAGGGCCTCACAATTTGCAGATTCAACCACCCCCCTTCCGATTGTTGTCAAGTTGAGAGTGGAGAAGAAACTAGGTGAAAAGCAAATCACTCTTGACATGCCAAACCCCTGGAAGAAAGATACATCTGGAATGAACACAAACATACAATATCATAAACAATTTACCGTTTTCAAAACACAGTTTCACTTTGGTCATTTAGGGCACCTGGCATGAAACTTCTTTATTAATCTAGCTGCTTTAATGTCTTTTGTGGCCACCCATTCAGCATTAACTATGGGATAGCCCTTCCCCTGCACAAGGAACTGCAACTTTCTCTGGTGGTTCAAGACATCCTTAATCTCATAGTGTTCCTCCCTTTTTATAAGGATTTGAGGTAGAGGGATTCCTCCAACTAGCCTTAGCTTGGAATCTTGAACGGACTTTAGCAGACTGCAATGAAAAATTGGGTGGACCCGCCTAAGACTTCTTGGCATCTGTAGCTCCACTGTCATCAAGTTTATAATCTGCACAATAGGGAAACAGCCTATATATTTAGGACCCAGGTTTTACAGGGCTGTCTTAGATTTAAATACTTTATGGACAAGTACACGTTATCACCCATCCTGAACTCCCTTTGGGGGGGTTATCTTCCGATCGGCTTGCTTTTTCTGGGCCTCTCTTGCTTTCCCTAATGCCTTGCGCACTGTAACCCATGTGCCTCTCAGACAGTTCACCCATTCCACCAGTGTTGCAGAGGATGGGGTCCTGGGGTAAAGCTCTGGCATGACTATGAACACAATGCCCGTAACCACCTTAAAAGGAGTGCTGCTATGTACTTTGCTGCTATGCACCGAGTTATTGTAAGTCACCTCAATGAACAGCAGCAGCTCAGCCCAGTTAGTCTGCTAATAATTTACATAATACCTTAGGTATTGCTCCACCATTAAGTTAGCTCACTCTGCTAATCCGCTAGTTTCATCTGGGATGAAAAGCGGAGCTAAGCCCCTGGGATGAGCCTATCAGGATCACGTATCCACCAGAACTTTGCAATAAACTGCACCCCTCCAGTCCAAGATAATCTGTAAATACGCTGCATGAACATTTTCACTAGAAGCCAGGCTAAGGGGAGCTTCAGGCATGGTATGAAATGTGCTGTCATGGTTCTGACAGATGAAATTCTTCAAAGAACTTCGAGGCATTGTTTACCTTAAAGAATCTTTATGGGAATAGTATATCTTCGGCACTAACGTAGTTGAAGCTAAAAACTGGATTCCCCTCCCCTGAGCACATAGTATCAAAGCACAATTCCCTCCTTCAATTAACAGTCATAAATCACATTGTCCAATTAGTTTGAAATGCAGGCTTTTCCTCCTGTTCTGCTACCCGCCAATTCTTATCATCTCTTATTTCACACACTAGTACAGTGGTAGTCAACCTGGTCCCTACCGCCCACTAGTGGGTGTTCCAGCTTTCATGGTGGGCGGTAGGGGTTCAATCGAGCCGTTTAAATTTTCAGATCCATTGAGCCCTCCGATCGGCTCACAGAGCTTTCCAGCAGGCGCAGGGTGTTAGCCTCAGCTGTGCGACCCCCTGCGGAGCTCTCGGAGGCCAGAGAGCCTCGCCGAAGTGCGCCATTGTCGCAAGGCTCCCGTCGACTTCCTCGATGATCTGGATCGCAGCAGAGGCTGCGCAACGAGATAAAACCACAAGTGTCTCATTTTCGGCTCTGGAGGGTGGAAATCAAAGACACAACGAACAACAAGCTTCCCCTCAGGGCCCCTCAAGGCTGGGAAGGCCTGGCCGAAATACAAGCGGCCGCTAATTTTGGCGCGGCCACCATTTTGAGAGCCTCACAGAGCCCTCAGTCATAGAGGTTTCAGGCATCTCTGACAAGCTCTCTCTTCATCCTGCTGTGACAGGCATGGATCGGGGGCAAACCAGACTCCACCAGGCATTCCCTCAAGACCAAGATAGAGGCCATGTCTCAAAAAAAGAAATACGCTCATGGCTATTTGCCAGAGTATCTGAAGATGGGTTTCATAGAATCTGTTGTAAATAAACAACACCCAATGTGTTTATTGTGTCATAAAACATTATCCAATGAGGCAATGAAGCCAAGTCGATTGCGAGAACATCTTTTTACAAAGCATTCAAATGATAAGGACAAGCCCATTGAATATTTTCAGGAAATATATAAAAATTTCAAAATCGTTCAACAATCGTTGCATCATTTAAGAAACAATATGCAGCGAACGAAAATGGATTAATTTGCACTTATCGCATTTCACAATTAATTGCAAAAAGTGGTAAAAGCTATAATATTGGAGAAACAGTAATAATACCCTCTATAAAAGAATTTATTTCAACAGTAATGCATCAGGATATACCTGAAAATTTAAAAACGTTGCCCCTAAGCGATAGCACAGTAAAGCGATAAATTGATG